GCTATCAGTTGGATATTCGTGTGTTTATCATATATATCTTTATTATTTCAAGCCTTATTTTCAGTGGATACCCATATTTAAGTAGAATGACACGTTTTTGTAAACAATATTAATTTCTGGATTTTTCTTGAGTACACAGTCAGGTAAACAAAACAAATACTGTATTTGTCTATATTTCTGAGATGAGGTTATATGGATAAAGGTGTTAGTTAGATCCAGTGACAGGACCCAAAGAGTGTGAGTTCAATCCCTAGTTAAGGCAGTGGAGAACTTGGAGAGGGGAATTAACAGGAGATAACAGATAACTGACATCCAATACACATGGCATGTGGAACTAGAACAGTCTACCCTAGCGAGTGAAATAAAGGGTTCAGTTTGACATTCCAACCACCTGAAGAAGGCCGGAGTGTACAACGGCCAAAATGTTGTGATAAATATGGCAAGAAAGATGAGGACAATAGTTCAAATAATGTAAATAGTGAAAACAAATACTGTTTAAAATAGACTCAATTATAGATATCCACTAATAATAATGTCTCAAGTAATAAAAATATGTTGTTTTAACTTAGTTTCAAATATATATCTATATATATAAATATAAAAGTGGACATTGAAGTCAACATCCAGAGGCAACAGTCTGTTTCACACTTGAAATCATCAGGCCATATGCCTGACACTTATGTTAATCATGAAACACTGTTGCCTCTGGGTGTTGAATTCAATATCCACTCTTATATTTGCATATGCTCTATCCCTGATATTAAACACTTTAACCCATGAATATAGCATACCTTAAAACTATATTTTATCATATATGTATATATGTACCTTAAAAGATTCAATAAAAAATGAACATACATGATGAAATATAATAAAGACAGTGTTATTGGCAAAATAAAATAATATGATAAAAACACATTGGCAAAATAAAATAACATAATAAAGACATATTGTTATTGGCAAAATCTTTGTTATTATTAAGAGGAAAGACCAAAATTTTTAGATAATTAAATTACATATTTTTATCCATTTAGAACATTTAAAATATTGGTTAAAATTTTTTTTCTTGTGTCAGTAGTTGACCATAAATTAGTATAGGAAATTTTTGTTTTTTGTGGTGGAAAATGTACTGATTTGGAAATTCTTGCAAAAATCATTAATTAAATTATTTTAGAAAATCTTGGTAAAAATATATTTTTTTTACATCTGTTACGCTCCCCCCCACTTATTTAATTTCATGAAATTTCAAGAAATTCATTTTTGTATGGCTTAATGTTTATATTAGTTATAACCAGATGTTCTTGGGAATTTTAAAATCATCTTTTTTTTTTTTTGTAAAACAGAAACTTGTAAAACTTATTAGAAAAGCTTTTAATTGCTTTTATGAATAAGATATGGACACTATTGTCTTAAAAAAAAATATTTTTCCACAAATAATGAATTTTTATAAAAATTGTTTTCATTTTTTAAAATGTTAATTAGAATAATTTAAAATTCTGTATTAATTTGCATCAGTTATAGGATATTGTTATTAAGTAAAAACTATATTTACTAATCATAAATGTAAAGCTTACTACAGTTCAGTTACCTCTCATATTGTAAAAAGAATTTTGAATTTTTTTTGTGTTTGTAAATGTGTCGATTTTTATAAATATGGATGTCCATACATGACATTATCAGAAAATAAGAGCAGTAACTATAGTAAATTTAAAGCCAAAGTAACTACAATTTAGTAAGACATTAGATTACTTTAAATATTTTCTTAACTTTTTAAGATTACTGGGTAGTTAAAAAAATAATATAAAAAAGCACTCACATTATATTCATTAAGTAGGTTTTACAGATATGTCCCATGTAGAATAAATTAGTTAAATTTCCAGCTGTATCTAGTAAATTGCTTCCTACCTTAAGAGATGTTCAGATAGTGTAATGGATATCAATGCCGAAAGTGGAATCTAGGTGTTATAATTTCAGGGTAGTCTGCTGCATTCACTTCCGCACTAATACCCTTGGGAAAGGCATGAATCCGTCTCTTCTCCCACCAGCTAAATAGAAATAGATGGGTACACTAAGCTATCTAATCTTGGTTAACAACTTGCCTAAGAGAAAAAAAATCTGAATTTTAAACTGAAGAGAAGACAGTAGGAAATCACTATCCTATCTTTCCCAAGAATGCATAGAAATCCCAGATAGCAAATAAAAGGAAGCTGTGGGGAGTCATGATCACATATGTCCTGAAGGGATACTGCATTAAAAAAAAAAACTAAAAATTTTAATTGTCAATCATCCCCCCATATGTTTTCATTGATGGTGAAATCGAAGCTATTGGCTGACCAGACAAAACTTTGTACTTGGAGAAACACTTCCAGCACAAATGGAATAATTATCTTGCTGAAACATGATCTGCAGTCATCAACCCAAATTGCTTCGGCTACTACATTTGCATTTCATACCATATTCAGCTTTACTGCCATATTTAGCTACCTGTTGATGAACTGGAATGCCATCCTCTGACCATATTTTTGGGCTCATCACTTCCATTAGGACACTTCAGAAAAGTACTTTTAGAAATTGTGAGTAATACCAAAAATAGTGGAGGTTATCTTAGCCATCTAGGTTGAATTTTTTGTATTTTTGCCTGTGAAGCGGATCCACCATTATTCATCCTCCTTGAAAATTCCATTCTCATTTTTGGGGGGATTCTTTTCATAACTGGATAATGCTTATTTTTTTTCTGTACACGAATCCTGATTTCTTAAGTGTGTATTTCATGGTCTCTTTGTGAATTTGGATCCTTGTTTCTGGCTTCAGAAGAACCTCATTGGGGATTTGATGCAATGTTCTACTGTCTTGTGTTTGGATTTCTGAATCACACAAAAAAATGTTCATAACAGTTTAATTCTGATTAATGTGTTGAACTGTTGCATGTTGATTCCAAAGTTCAACAATCCTACTGTATTCTAAGTTGGATAACTTTTAACTCTTCCAATACTGTGTAGACTTCATGCCATTTTTAGCAACAGAAATTGATAAATTCAACCTTGAACTCTATAACACATACACTGTCAACAGGTTTAGAGTTGAGTGACAATGAAAATTTTACACAATTAAAATTCTATTAAAACTACTCATGATTGCTGTTTAACACTTTCTTTTATGTGCCCTGTCCTGTCAGGTTATAATTGATCACAGCTCTCCACAACTTCCTATCTTTCTTGCTCCAGGTAACTTTTAACCTTTTACCATCCCTCTTTAACCCTGTTCTACCATCCATTTACACAAACTTGTTAAGTAGATTACTCACTGTTTTTTCCATTGTTTCTCTTGCCTTCATTATATCTTATGAATATTAAATTCATGACTCTTCACTACTTCCTGTCTTTTGTTGTTCTAAGTAACTTGTAACCATTTGTTTTTGTTCTTCTGCCATCTATTAATTCAAACTTTTTAACTTATACAATTTTTCAAAAGTTTAACTTGAGTTGAAAATGTGGTATGCTGTGTGTCTGTATGTATATAATGGGCATGTGGCCAAGTGGTTGGAACATTTGTTTTCTGACCATAAAACCTGGGTTCAAATCTCACCATGATTAATTTGTCAGGAAGGAGGCTACCTGATGTTATCGGTCTGAAAAGGGTGATCTCAGCATGCAGCATTTTGAAAAAGTGCCTGAAAATCATATCACAGGTTGACCCAACCATTGTGAGTGAAATTGGGTAGACAGGACCCTTAGGGTCTTTCAATTGCTATGCTATCACAGTCACAAGTTGTTGTGACCAAGAATTTGAGTGTGCTGGCCTTGTTCACATTATTGATCATGCTAGATAACACAATCTCTCTCAGAAACTGTAACTAAGGTCTGCTCAGCATTTGTGCCTGAGTGGGCATCTACAAAAGGGATTGGCTAGCTGCCCTAATAGACTAGTATCTTCGAATATGTGGCCAGCTATTATATATATATATATATATATATATATATATAGTGCAGCAAATTCATGTTGGCAGCTGAAAATGAAATAAAGCAAAATGGCATTATATGTACATTTAAAAAAAAAACATTTTTCGTTCTTTACTCTATTTTGCTTTTATTAAACCTACAAATAAAAATGTTTATAATAAGAAGGTTTTAAAATATCTAAATTGTAATTGTTAAAAACCACAATTAAAACAATATTTTAAAACATGTAATTACAATTTTTAATAAAAATTTACATAAATTAAGTTACCTCCCTTACATAGTGGTAAATTTTTTGAATTTTACAGCGTTCATGCTCACGCATATTTGTAGCTTACATTAATGCTTTATCTTAGCAATTCACCCCTGAAGATGATCTTGGATGAGATTGAAACTACTTGGCAAAATAAAAAAAACCATATAGATAATTACAGTGTTTTTATTACTCAGCTTTGTACTGACACTAAGAAATTGATCTGTGAACTTGAGAGGATTAAAATAAGAATAAATAGACATAATATATTGAGATTATTCAACCAAACATATATAAGTATAAAAGTTACCAGCACACCCTTTTGTGAAAACTAGAAGTTGACTACACAATTTTTATAAATTATAAATGCTGGAAACCTTTGTATGCACCTATCATATAATTCATATACATATCTCCTGTCTTGTGGCAGATTGAAAAGAGTCATTTTAACATGAGTGAAGACTGAAAAATGAACACAGAATTTCTGTCAAAATAATTACAGGTAATAAAACTTGAATTTACAGGTATGACAGGCTTACCAAGCTGTAAGTATATGCTATATTGTGGGACTTCTAATAACTAAATTTTATTCTTGTGCTATTGATAGATTCTGGAAATTTTGGGGGTTCTCTCTCTCTCTCTCTCTCATATATATATATAATATGTAGTGTGTGTGTACTCCAATATATATATATATGCACACACATACAAAGATAAAATAATCTTTTCTTCAGTATCACATATTAAAATGGTTTTAGAGAATTTTGTCAAAGATTGCATTCTTTTGACAGGCTTGAGCTAACCCTTGCTGGTGGATTCAGTGATTCCAGGAACCTTTCTGTCAAAGTTTCAGAGCATCTGCTAAGTAAGTATTTGAAGCCAAATTGAGAAGGCAATCAGGTGGTTGTATATACTAGGTGCAACTGCAAAATTGTCTAAATCGTGTAACAGCATAGAATAATTGTCCATCCTACAAAATGTTTAATATCTTAAAAACTACTAAACTAATTGAGTTTTTTTTTTCTAGCTTTTCAGATAAGATGTTTAGCCATCTTGACACCATTTGTTGTAAGAATCACTGAAAAACCCTTTGAGTTATTCAGCTAGAAAGAGAACAGATTAAAATCATTTTGTGTCAGTCCCACTATGTCTTTCCAACTGAACAATGGTGAGATCAAAAAGATCATTCAGGCCTTCAGTAATGGTACCAACATTCATACTTTGGCTTCTATCTTCTATCTGTCCATTCAAGTACCATCAAGAGAAACGGTGAATAAGTTTAAAAAAGAGAGAACAGTAGAGAGGAAAACTGGAGTATGAGGTCACAACAGGAAGAGAGAACATCATTTCAACTTAGAGCTAAATACATTCTTATTGTTCAAGGTAATGTTATAAAAACCTTGGAGAATTCCAGTAAGATATTTTTAATCATTTCTAAGATACAACGGTTCAAAGCTTAATCTAACAATTGGACAGTTTTGCTGTTACACGATTTGGACAATTTTGCTCTTATACGTGGTAAAGTACTTGCTTATAGTTAATCATGTCTCTCACGAGTTTTCATTCATTTTAAATTTGTTTTGATTTTTACAGATTATTATATATAAATGGTTTATTACATACATACAAACACATATAGACTCGATCAAAGTCATAAGAGTATGATCCATGTAAGATTGAACTTCACTAGCAATACTAAATTGCTAACCACACTCCCGTGGTAGGTGTCCATAATAAATATATATAATAAATACTAGCAGGGGCTACCTGGTATTGCTCAGATAAAATATAATCAAGACTTTTTGGTTATTCAGTAAATTCTAATATATTTTAAAAAAGGTAGCATAGAAAACAGTATTCTGCCAATATTGCAAAAAGAAAAGATTTTATGTTAAAAGTGCTTCTGGATAAACAATATTAGCAGTCTTACCTTCTAGACAATAAGGAACAGGTTGTTTTTGGGATACTGCACTTGAGCCACCTATATAAAGTTGATGAGAGAAACATTCTGGCAAGTACGTTCACAAACTGATTTTCAATTGTCCTTGAAAAGTTGAGTTTCTCTGGACACTTGTAATCAAAGAAAAATTCTGTTGGAATTAAAAGGACTAGTTTTTAACCTGTGAAAATTTCATGGATTTTCTATTTGAATTTTTTGATGAATTTAAATTCTTAAGTTAATGATTGAACAAGATCATGGCAAACTCTATAATAAAATATCTGTAGAAATTCCCCTATTGCATCATTAAATATTTCCTTATTGCAACATTAACTATCATAAATATAAATGCTGGTCATTATATTTTAAGAAGTGGGTACAAATCAAAAGATTTGAAATTGGTAACTTTTTCTATTTCACTGAAATAAACTTTCTTTTATTCATTTTTTAACTGTTATCAAGTAATGTATTTTCCCCTGTTTCAACACAATCAAAATGGAATAGTCCCTTATTTATGAGGTATTGGCAGAGCACAATGGTCGTGCAAACTAATGAAGGGAAGGACAAGCAAAATTATAATAGGATGCTTGGAATGAACATATCTTCTCTCTTTTGAACACTAGCTATTGTTACGGTTGGCACAACACAAAATAAGATGAAACAGATACTTAGAAATTAAAGTTGAAGAAAAAGATTACATCTAATAACAAAAAGCGGGTTTTATTTAACATATAATACAATATTTTTTCAGAACAGTAGGAATGAAGTTTAAACAGTGTAAGTTAGGGAATGCTAACAAGTTACTAAGCATGCAAGAGCCCAAAAAGTAGTTGGCTTAACGTGTAGCTATATGAGGGAGTGGGAGAGGAAATCCAATACAGTTAAGATTAAGGCGACGGATGGGAATTCGTTGCTAGTCAAAGAATCATATTATTTTTTCTTAAAAAAATAGTTACATATTCACATGTATATAAAATAAAGGAGTTTGGCCAATCATATCAATGAAAAAAGGTGAAGTATTTACTGATAGTCTTTTCCTTTTGAGGACTGTCAGAACTTAGATTCTTTCAGTCAAAGCTTTGTTCATGAATCAAAACGACCGGATTCGACCTCAATAGCCATGGCTGTGGGTATGAACTCCTGTTTATATATGTTTTTTGTATCCTCTAGAACCCAGTAGAAGTTTCTAGAGACTTCTAGAAAGTTCCATTCTATTATTATGAAATCTAAAGGGTTTGGTGAATGGGAGCTTTTCATAAGGCAAAAACGGCATCTAGTAGCTACAGATTTAAGTCATCATTTTAAGTTAGATTTTGTATTTTATAGTATAAGTGTAAATAAGTATGACAAAATGGGGCCTCATAACAATATAATCTATGGCTTTTTATGCTTAAATTAAAAAAAGTTGAACTTCACATTAAAAAAGCTGACATTCAAATGAAAAATAATTGAATTTCAAATTAAAATTTTATTAGTGTGAAAAGAAACATTACTTTACAAACAAAAAAAACTAACAAGCAATATAATCGCAGATGTATGATTAAAAATTAATTAGTTTGCAAATTGTCTTCCATTTGGCGATCTTCTTGTGCCAATGTTGGGGCAGATTGTTTCTGTACATGATTGTATATGTTTGTGGACAGTAGTGGGGTAATTGCAGACATTGCTTCTTCGAGGTAGTGTAATCTATGTGCTGTCTGAGTAATTCTTGCTGGTGGTGAAACCATCGTGGTTTCAAATATTTTGGTCATCTGGAGTTTCATAGCAGCCCTCAAGATGATCCAGCATTCCAATTAGATTTAGAAGTTTAGCTTTTTTTAATTTGCATTTCAACTTTTTTCATTTGAAGATAAAAAAAAAAAAATGTAGTATTGAAAAGTGTGAGCTGGGTCAAACTATTTATTGGAAAAGACATATTTCTGATATAATATGGAATATCAGGGAAGTTTCCAGAAAGTTCTGTGCAACTAGAAAATTTGATTATATTTCAGATGCAATATGGAAAGTCAGAGAATGGTTTAGAAAGTTCTTGGCACTCAACAAAGTTCTATGATATTTTAAATTTAATCTGGGAGAACTTCCAACTAGAATGTTCTTCACCCCTAAAAAGCTCCATTATGCTTAATGATGACTTCAGATGTCAAAACTAATATTTACCCGAACTAATTGGAAATTGAAGAAACATTTTTGTATTCTATAGTAACTCATTATGTCTAAAGGCTATACAAAAATCACCAATAAGTGCAAATTATTTTCTTTAATATACACTGCGTGCCAAATTATTATCAAGATAACTTTTTTTCTAATATTTCAAAAACTGTGAAATCAATTCACACAAAATTTTCACATAATGTTGGCAACACTGAACTGTGCAATCACTGAAATTTTTATACTGATCTACACAATGTAAACAAACTGGCACCATATTTGTTATCAGCCCGGTGATTTAAGCTTGCCAAGTTATTAGAAAAGTATAAAAATTTAGGGAAAAGATAGGCCGTAAAAGCAGTTTCAGTGATGCTGAAAAGAAAACTATTACCTCAGAACTCTCAACAAGTAAATCTACCCTAGAAATTTTTAAATGATAGGGAAGTGTCATCAAACAGTGAAAAATTCACCGCTGACCCTACACAAGTATGCAAAAGGGCATATAAAGGCAAGCCGAGGGTTATTTCACATTGTCTCATGTCATGACTTAAACGAGAGGCCACGAAGAACCCTGGACTTACCAGTCAAGAGCTTTTCAGTCGTATTGGAGATGTTACTGTGCCTAAAAGTACTCGGTGTCGGTATCTGAGGGAAATAGCAACAACAGTCAAACCTGTATCGAAGCCTCCGTTGACGAGAAATCACATTCAAAATTGATTGAAATGGGCCGAGGACAATATGAAGATTGACTTCTCTAAAGTTTTGTTCACAGACGAAACTCAAGCAACACTTGATGGGCCAGATAGATGGTGCAAAGGCTGGGTAATGAATGGACAGAATCGCCATCAGCATTTGAGAGGCCAACAAGGTGGTGGAGGCATAATGATCTGGGGTGGTATTATTGGAAAAACATTAGTGGGCCCATGGAGAGTACCAGATGGCGTCAGAATGACTGCTGAAGCATAAATAGCATTTATGAAGGAGCATCTTGAACCATGGATGAAAAGGCAAAGAGTTGCCTTCAGAAGGGCCATTGTTTTTTATGCAAGATAATGCTCCCTCACATGCTGCTCACAAGACTACTGAATATTTGAAACAGTTAGGCTTCAATGGACCTCGAAAAATGAAGTGGCCTCCGGATTTGAACCCAATCGAAAACCTTTGGAGCATCATGAAGCAAAGACTGTAGGCCAACGGATGACAATTCAGGAGCAACGCTGAGTTATGGGAAGCAATTCTTGATATATCTCACGGCATTACAGCAGATGACATCCTACAATTAACAAATTCTATGGATCGTTGACTTTTTCAAGTAATTTCAAAACAGGGAAAGCACATTCCCTATTAATTTGTTTAAAACTGTGCCTTTGTTTGTATCTGTTATTATTTGTTTGATTATCTTATTTATATCTTTTGATCATAAACATTCACGTTCAACATTAATAAACGTTATGTTTGCTCAATTCCTGGGAATTTTACTAAACCTTTCTAATAATTTGGCATGCTCAAATCACCGTGCTGATAATAAATATGGCGCCAGTTTGTTTACATTGTGCAGATCAGTACGGAAATTTCAGAGATTATGCAGATCAGTGTTGCCAACATTGTGTGAAAATTTTCTGTGAATTGATTGGATAGTTTTTGAAATATTAGAGATAAAGATATCTCGATAATAATTTGGCACACAGTGTAAACATATATAGTATAATTATTTTCTTTAATATATATAAAGTATAATTTTATTATTTTCTTTAATATATATATAATGTATAATTGGATTTCATTGAATTGGGCTTTGTTGATGTTGTCACGTCTCCATATGTGCATGAAATGAGATGCAGGTAGTTTCAGGAGAAAAGTTGATGGAGAGAAAAAGAAAAAGAATACAGATGAATTTGGCTAGAAAAAAAATTATTCTTTCAAAAATTTTGAAACTACCAGCATCTCTCATTTCATGTGCATGTGTAAATATGGCAACATCAACAAAGCCCAGTCTGATGAAACCTAATGGAGAAAACGTTTCACAAAAAACCTTTTCAGTTTGTCATATTTTTTCTAAATAGTGTAATTGTAATGATAAAAATTACAAAAGAAGATAAATACATGATTAAATAAAGGTGGCATTATTATTTATTTATTGGAAACTTCTGTCGTCATTAAGTAGGTATTTATTTTAATTTCTTATATTATATGTAGTGAAGGAAATTTGCACAGCAACATTTTCAAATCCTTAGTAAATCCTGGTTAAATAATGTATTTTTCTTGTTTTGAACAGGTGAGTTCAACAAAGTCCCTTTGGATATTCACTTGATGTATGCTGTAATTACAGGTAAGACAAAATGCATACCTTCTATACAAGACAGTGAAAGACAAAGAGAATCCATTTGGCCAAAAGTCTTACAGTAATGTTAATGAGTAGTGCATTAAAAAGTGGGCATAAATATACAGGGTTGCTCAGTTCTTTGAAGTCATTTGTATGAATTTAGTAAAAGGTGTATAAAAATTGGTATGGATAATCTAGAAACTCTTCTTGATGCATCTACTTAATGAATCTGCCATTAGCATTGATGACTGCTTCACTACAAGCTCTGAAAAGTTAACATACCCAAATCAGATGATCTTGGACATTTTGCTAATTATGGCAGACTTCAGAGATTTTATAGTGTTATAGCAGTGTTGATTAATTTCCCTCTTGACTATGCTCCATATGTAGTCAGTCAATTATGTTCCATGATTGATACAAGCTTAGGTGATCATGTATCTTTTGATACATGACTGATGAGTCCTGCAGTAGGTTGCCATTTCTTTCTGCAGTAGATCAGTTGCCATCCAAGGCTATAGAACCAGGTCTGTCCTGCTATTTACCTATAGCTGGTGGGGAGAAGAGGAGGATTCATACCTTTCCCAAAGGTATTAGCACATAAGTGAATGTAATGGATTTGACTGGAATTCGAACAGCTTTCCAATTCCTCATATATAGTAGTCTAATGGATTCATGCCTGGGGAGCTAGGACGCCACATGTTTGTTGTGATATGATTGTGAAGATTGTGACTAAACCATTCTTGGGTCATCTTGGTCTTATGATGCAGAATCCTGTTATGTTTATGGTCTTCCTCACAACCCTCTCCAACACCTCCTGATAGTCATCAGCTTAAGCCTTGAGGAAAGAAGTGGGAAGGCATGACACCTCCCCCATTGCTTACGATTTCCACAGCCATTACAGTTGACAGAAACTTTGTGTGCATGACAGTTGAAATGTTTGTAGGTGGGGGTCTCTGCATAATCATCTGTCATTCTTTTGAATGACCTTTTGATTTTGATCAAGGTTTTTCTCAGAGAAAAACCAAATCATTCCAGCTACTTGATGTTTTGACTTGCTCACCAAGTGCTTTATATGGGTCAGACGGTTACTTTTTATCTTTGCAAATATGAATTGGATTCTCCACATCATATATGACTTGTATCAAAGTTATTCATGCACAGTTATTCTGACAGAATGCCTTGAAACCTTCAGCTCCTTAGCAGTGTCTTTAAGTGACTTTTTTGGTTTCTTATTGATAATTTTCTGTACCTTTTTGTACAAATTTTGGTGTTCTGATGGTGTTAGTACCCTTAACAGGTGTTTTATGTTTGCCTACAGCGGCTACCAGCTCTTTGCAAACTTTGACAACAAACAACCGTGGGATTTTCAAGAAACAAGCAATTTCTAAACCACTAGAAGTTTTGGCAACACGCTGATGCATGTTGAAATCCTCACAGTATTTATTATTGTTGAAGTTGTCACTAACATTTTTTTGTCAAGATTTATAAATGCTGTTTTGTTCAGTTTTGCAATTCAATTGGTGAAGTATAAAAATTTAAAAGATACGCCAAAACAATATAGCATTTTTATTAAGTAAGTATTTGTTCACTATTTACATTATTTGGACTATTGTCCTCATCTTTGTTGCCATGTTTATCACAACATTTCGGCTGTTGTATGCTCTGGCCTTCTTCAGGTCATTGGAATGTCTGACTGAACCCTTGGATACATAGCACAGTAGATAAAGGCGTTAGTTAGATCCAGTGACAGGACCCAAAGAGTGTGAGTTCAATACCTGGTTAAGACAGGAGAACTTGGCGAGGGAAATTAACAGGAGATAACTGATAACTAACATCTATTAAACATGGCATGTGGAACTAGAACAGTCTACCCCAATGAGCAAAATAAAGGGTTCAGTTCGACATTCCAACCACCTGAAGAAGGCTGGAGCGTACAACGGCTGAAACGTAATAAATATGGCGACAAAGATGAGGACAATAGTCCGAATAATGTAAATAAGTATTTGTTATTTTAATCATTAAATTGTTTTTAAAATAGTGGGAGTATTTTGTATTTTAAATAATAAAACTTTTAATATGAAAAAAAAAACATTAATGAAAACTTATTGTACTAAACTATACACACTAGTAAAACTAACTGTATTTTGTACCCCCTTACCTGTTTGCACTTCTCAAAATTTAGATTCAATTGGACCCTCTAAAATAGCCAATGTATGGCTCTTTTAGAGGGTGTGATGGACGGATGAACTTATAAAATGTGAATAACTTCTTGATTTTTGGTAATTTTTCATTTTGAGGGTTATAGCTAAACAAAATTGGATTTAAAATTTATAATTTCAAAAGAGTGCAAAAATTTAATAATAAACAAACTTTGATTTAAGATTTATAATTTCTTGGGGTGAATTATTATTTGTGATAGGTAACTTTACATTATTTGGGGTAAATTAACAGAAAAGATCCGAAATTAACTATATTTTTTTAATAAGGATAGCTATCATCAACTGAAATTCACACAATATATTACTTCTATAAGAGTAGTTATATCCTGAAAATGTTACCAACATTGATTGGTTAATACCAAATTTATTGTGAAATTATTGACACTTACATAATATAAAATATGACACCATGTAACAGTCATGATCAATCAGTTAAATTCCATACATGATGTACACTTGGGCGATTATGACTCTCGATTCATAACTGTCTAGGCAGAAGATTTTCCCGCAGTAGGTTGCTGTTTCTCTCTGTGGTTGACTGGTTGTCAACCAAGGTTATAGAACCCAATCTGTTTTGCTATTCAGTCATAGTTGGGGGGGGGTTAGAAGAGATGGATTCATACCTTTCCCAAGGGTATGTGTAAGTGTATGTAACAAACTTGATTTGAAGTTGAACTTGGCTTTCTGTTTTTCTCATTCTGAGCTGATATTCATTTCACCACAATGCATATCCAGTCATGATAATAAACCTATTTTGCTAGATATATACACAAGATGGAGGAGCCATCAAAAACATTATGAATAGGAAGGCGTGATTTATTATAGAAAATTAAATTCTAATCTAATGTTATATATTGCTCATATCATATAGATTAACTTAGCATTTATCCAAATTGATCAACACAGACTAACATTTTTCTTCACAATTTCTTAATAGTAAGTTTGATAGGTCCAACGAAGCAAAACTGGCAGCTGCTATCAAAAATGACCTCCAATCAATTGTTAACTGGGGCAAAGAATAGCTTTTAATTTTTAATGCCTCCTGAATGAAACTTCTCTTTTTTAATCATCTTATTGAATCTTTTTTGCCTTCCATCAGCATAGCTGATGCTAACCTCTAGGAGAGAAACTTATTGCACCTTCTTGGTCCCATGTTTCCCACTAGTATGAAGTTGAACGATCATATTGAATCAATTTCTTGGGCTACTGCTAGAAAAATTGGTCAACTGTGCCAGACATTTTTCTTGTTGGAATCCATCTTACATATTTATGAATTTACCATTTGTTCGGGCATTGAATATTACTGCTATATCTAGTCTGGTGCTCCTGTTATATATATATCGAGATTCTTGACAAAATCTAAAGAAGGTTTTGTAATCAATCCTGACCTGGCATTTTGATGTCAGTCAATTTCCTGCTTCCATGACATGGTTTCCATCTGTCTTTTCTATAAATATTTTCATAGTAATTGTTCTGATAAGTTTTCATCATTGGTATTTCATCCACAGGAATTTAAGTGTACTGTTAGATTGACAATTAAGTTTCATCATTTTACTGCTGAATTTGTTATGCTATTCTAATAGTTTCTTTTCTCACACTTCCCGCTTGTGGATATCTCTTTCAGTTTCTTGCTTTCCTGCCACCTATGATCTTCAAAAATTTAAATGCAACAGAATCACAATCTTCTGCCTTTCCTGAATCCTGTTCTTTTATTGTCCTTTCTTCTCATCAGAGTTATCTCATTTTCTTTCACTCCCAGTAGCCTGTTTATTCTTAGTGGTATTATTGCTTGCTTGGGGTAAAATGATTAAAAAAAAAATGATACACTTTGATAATATGCCTAAATTGTTATGTTAACTGTAAAAAGATTTCAGATTCTTGAAACCCTTATTTTTAAAACTTGTTTAAAAGCAACCAATAAGCTTGATACCAAGTTTCTTCATATTACAGAATTTATATTAACACAAATGACAATGATTGTGTTTCAAAAAAAAAAAATTAGAAAAAAGATGGCTGAGCAGGGTATTTCTGGAAGTTAACATTTTTAAAGCAAGCTGTCTTTGTAATTATAGTGTTCGATATCATGAGATAGATCATTAATGCTAATAAATAAAATTAAATGTACACTTGCCTCTCGTCTGAGTTTTGTGGATGTTACATCCACTTACCACATTATGAAATTTTATTATAATTGTAGAATTTTACAATCACTTTTCCAGAAGAGTGGATATAATCTATGTGAAACTCAGAGTATAGACAAGATAAGTCAATATTTAATTTTATTTATTTCTGGAACTTATATTATAAAATTTGTAAAAGTTTTTAAAGCAATCCGTCTTTGTAATTATAGTGTCTGATATCAAGAGATATGGTATTAAATAAAATTAAATGTTCACTTACCTTGTCTCTACTCTGAGTTTTATAGATATTACATCTACTTGTAAGATTATGAAATTTTATTAAAATTATAGAAGTTTAAAATGAAGTCTCCTAAAGAGTGGCTGTCATCTACATGAAACTCAGAGTTCAGTCAAGATAAGTGAATGTTTAGTTTTATTTGTTACTAAAATGTATATTACAAAATTTGCAAACAAATAAACTTCTCAGTGCCAGTTCAGAATTAATAATAATGTTATTCAATTTTCATTTTCTTTGCAGATTTGAATACGGTGATGAAAGGTGATATTGCTTTTCCTGTCATTTTGGGATTGGGTAAGTTGGATGTCTATAAAAAGAAAACTTTCTAAGCTATTTTGATAAATTTTTAAGTTTGGAAGAAGTAGAGTTATTTACTATATTTACGTGACTTCTATTGAGAGAGAATTATATTATAATAGAGTTAACTTATATAATCTATGAGATGTAACAATTTAATTCTTATGTTTTACTCGAGTGATGAGTCAAGCAAAAATTTGGACCTGAGCATGTCTGGATATATTCCAGTTTCTGCTTTCTTCAGATGCAGACCAGAAGAGCCATTAATTGCTGAGCAGTAGAGGAAGTTGCATCTGGTCTGGTGCTCATGCTATATGTTTAGAGATTCTTGATAAAATCCAAAAAAGAATCTGCAATGTTATTGGTCTTGACTTCAGTCACTTTCCCACCACCGTAATGTAGTTTTCTTGTGCCTTTTCTATAAATAATTTTATGTTAATTGTTCTGATGAACTTTCCTCTTTGGTACCTTGACTTTATGAATTGCTAGATATATACACAAGATGGAAGAGCCATCAAAAACATTATGAATAGGAAGGCGTGATTTATTATAGAAAATTAAATTCTAATCTAATGTTATATATTGCTCATATCATATAGATTAACTTAGCATTTATCCAAATTGATCAACACAGACTAACATTTTTCTTCACAATTTCTTAATAGTAAGTTTGATAGGTCCAACGAAGCAAAACTGGCAGCTGCTATCAAAAATGACCTCCAATCAATTGTTAACTGGGGCAAAGAATAGCTTGTAATTTTTAATGCCTCCTGAATGAAACTTCTCTTTTTTAATCATCTTATTGAATCTTTTTTACCTTCCATCAGCATAGCTGATGCTAACCTCTAGGAGAGAAACTCATTGCACCCTTGGTCCCATGTTTCCCACTAGTATGAAGTTGAACGAAAGCATAGTACTAGATTGGGAAACTAGATCTCATCACTTTACAATTGGAATTGTTAGATGTAACCATAAGTTATAAGGAGATAATTTCTTCTTCTATTGCACTTCTCGCTTGTAGAACTTTCTTCTGGTTTCTTGCTTCCTAGTGAACTTTGATCTCCAAAAATTTAAATGCAATTCCAATTGTTATCTTCTGTTTTCTTAATTCCTGTTCTTTTATTGTCCTTTCTCTTTTAATAGTGTTTTTTTTCCTTGCATCTTAGTGACTTTATTGCCTTGCTTTGAGTGAAATGGTTAAAAGAAAACATTATACTGTTGGTGGAAAATTAGTGAAAACATATCTGGAGCAGTGAACTAACATCAAGATTTGTAGAAACGCTTGTGAGAAAAATGGCTTATGCTATGAAGAAATCAAGTGTCACAGGTGACTCAAAGAAGGCCAAGAAGATGTGCATGTTGACACAAGGAATTTCCAGCCCAAAATACAAGAACTGCTGTAAATGTGGGCAGTGTGTGTACCTTGGTGCACTCAGATTGAAGATTAAATGGGTGTCTGATAGCAGAAGAACTGAATATTATTAGGGAAATAGGATGGAAGATTGTAACAGAGAGTTTGGGAATGAGAAAAATGATATTTTAGGAATCTGCAAGTTCTTGGCTAAGAGATCCTTCATAAAATTGAATCATCAGCCTTATTCACTGGACTTAGACCCACCCTGGTGATTTTTGGCTATTCTCAAAATTGAAAACTATCCTGAAAGGAGAAAGATTTGCTGAGGTCTCTGACATCTAGCAACACATGACTACATTACTCAAAGGATTTCCAGAAAACAAGTTCTAAGAATGTTTCTAGCTCTGACATCATCTCAAGAAGTGTACAGTTTCATAACGTATATTGAATGTAACAACAACCAATAGTGACCAGGCAAGCAAACTTTGCTTTCACAGCTCTATTCTGTCGCACTTTATATATATATATATATATATATATATATATATATATATACAAAGGTGCATCAATAAGTTTTTAGCCTGATGTGTAGTATTTACCTGAATTTTCTCCAGAAATAGTAATAGTAATATTAAATGTTTCCTGAGATTGAAACATCTGGCACCCATTAACTGAACAGTCAGTGCTATTGTTGGTTAAAATTTTATAAAATCTTTCTCTTAAAACAATTTTTCAGGAAAATAGATTTCAGTAACTGTTATCGCTCTTTCCAGTATTGATGGGGCTTCCTTCCTAACCTTTTGTTCAAAGTAGTGTGGAATGTCTACATCTTGACTATTTCATTATTTTCTCTTTGAGTTACATATGCTATCTATTTTAGTTGTTGCTGCTGCTGTTGAATGTCCTCAAGTGATTTGGTTTCTGTTATTTGGTAATTTTCTTTGTAATTCTGTAGGTACTGTCCACAAAGTTTGAAAAAGGATGGTCCTCTCTAAGACCTACAGAGGTTTTTTTTCCTTGAAGCCATTTTTAATCATTGTTCTGAGAAAGCTGTTGTATAGCTAGAATATTAGAGCTGAGCATTAACATTAGACTGTCAAGTTAGTAGGTATAGGTATAGTATAAAACATCTACTGTGCTATTCTTTCACCAGGTAGAAAATAAACCCTATTTCCAATGCAATTACATACCTACATGCATGCCATATTAAATCATACCCAAACTTTATTTTCTACCCAATAAAAGAAATATTTACAAACACGCCAAAAAGATTCCATAATACAACACACACCATTTAAATCAAAGTGTCCATTGGTTAGAAATTAACATCACCATGTGAAACATTTGACCAATTAGAGAAGACTATTTTTCAGGAAATATTTCTTATAAAACCCTACAGATTTGTAATGTGGTAGATATTAATGACAGAAATTAAAATACATAAAATGTACAATGATAACAACAATAAAAACTTGATATGTGTTGACATAAATAACAAGAATTTGTATTTTCTTTTTGTGATGTGAATTACAGAATATTGGTGTGGTATGTGTAGAAAAAATGTTCTCAGTGTCTCTTTTTGTTTAAAAGTCAGTGCTTACTTGGTTTGGTTCTGAGAATTTCGTTTGTGAGGATGGCGTTTGAAATTATCTGTTTTCGATCTTCATGGAGTGCTGGCTAGACGTGTGTTTCTGCATTGCTACTGCTACTTGTCTCTTATCTAATGACTACTGTTACAGGTACCCTAGTCTAGTCTACTGACTCTCTTGGGGTGGAAGGGTCGTTTTTTTTTTAATGATGAGTGTTAGGATGATGAAATATCCTTCTTTTCTATCATCACTGATTGCAAGGTTATTTTTAGAATTGTGAAATATCATCATCATTCTGGACCATAACATATTTTGACTTTCAGCAGCAGCAGCAGAGATGTGATTGTCTCCAAACTGTTTGAACATGAGAAAAGATGTGGCTATATAGCTTTTTCCTTCCTCATAAGTGCATGCTGAAACAAACATGTTTTGGTGACTTCAAGTGAATCATCGCCAACAACAGTGGGGATAGTCAGTGAATCATTTGCTGACAATCAAAGTCTTTTCTTAACCACACCTTTTTCTGTGGACCAACTATCTATAGACTTTAACTCAACTAGAGACTATTTTTATTCCATTTTGAATCTTTTGAATTCATGTACATATGTTTGAAAATACAGATGATTTATTTAACAGGTATATACATGTTTTCTTTTTTTTTAATTTATTATTATTTGGAATTCAGATGTTGGATAATTAATATAAAAAAAAAACTGAATGAGAGAATTTCCTGTAGTTTTCTTTTCTGTTCAGTTAGATTAAAGTCACTCGGACTACTTAGGTCCACTCATGGGTTTTTTCTTTATTTTTTTCCCCCCTGTATAGGTGACTAATGGTCATGCTTTTTTTTCTCTGTTTTGTTCCTCCTCTTTTCATTTGTGTTTTGGTCACCTGATGATCATGGTAGTGTTAAACTCAAGTAGCAATTTGAATTTTGTCTCTTTTTGAGTAATATATATGTGTGTGTGTGTGTCAGCTTACAGCCATATAGCATTGAAACACAAGTTCCTTTACAGTTGCTGTGGTTAAGCAACATTGAGCTTGGTCAGTACCTAGATGGCTCACTGCTTGGGAATACCTGGTGCTGTAAGCTTGATTGTGTGGGTGGTGTCATGGATAATGTTTTGGAATTGTTAATCAGACAGCTGAGTTCCAATTGCTGTTGGGTTCATTATACTCACTTACATGCAAAAACTCTTAGGAAAGGTATGAATCCATCTCTCATTCCCCTAGCTATGGGTTAAATATTAAGACTTGTATCACTAAATCATTATTATCTTCAAAAAGAAAATTCTTAGAATATAAAAGTATTTTTTGGTTTTAAATAGCCTGCAAGGGTTTGATAAGCCATAGAAAATAAATCAATCAATGAAATATTGATTAGCTACATAGGTATATCTTTCAGATTTATTTACATTCTCTGGAATATAAATGTATAGAAACTACTATGGCTATAAAGTGAGGGGTCAGTTTATATATTTATTGCTTTATATAATTGACCCCCCACTTTATATCCAGATTATAATTTCTTGTTTGTTTATCAAATTCTGATTAGGTATGAAGCCACCTCTTCTCCTCTCAGCTATGGGTTAATTAGTAAGACTTGTATCACTAAATCATTATTATCTCAAAAAAAAACAAATTCTTCCGATTTAGAAATATTTTCTGGTTTTAAATAATTTTCAAGGGGTTGATAAGCTTTAGAAAATGAATCATTCTATAAAAAGCCCAAAAGTGTCCCCTTATCAATTCATAAGTTTGTATTCTCCCCACAAAATCAAATAGAAAACAACCTCATATGTAGAATAATTCTTGTATTATTGAGAAAAGATATGGGAAAAGTCTCTCTTATAAATTCATAAGTTTTACTTAGGTGTGATCCCAATACAGAAGAATAGATATCCTGGAAATTTTAAATGAAAATGTGAAAGTTCTCAAAGTACGGAAGAAACTGTATGTCGAGAAAAAATCTTTGCTCAGAAGGCTGATTCTTCTGTCACATAACTTTTATTACAGTATTGTGTTGTCATATTGTTATGGTTTATTATTTGTCAGTGTTATTAATCTCTTAATTTACCTAATAAGATCACCAGTAAAGAATGAATCTTCTATCTGTTACAATGAATCTTCTATCTGTTATATATATTTATATATATATATATATATATATATATATATATATAATTTTAGAGGCATGCAACACACTTGTCTAGAATCAAAATATCAATGCACTCTGTGTAGAATCAAATTGTCTCTTCCTGGCAGTTCTGCCTTGGGTCAATGTAATAAAAGAAAAATGTTACCATATATATATATATATATATATATATATATATATATATATATATAAAGTGAACATAGAAGTCAACATAGGCGACAGTCTGTTTCATGCTATATGCAATCGTCAGGCCACGTGTGCTGTTATTTTTCTCAGCTATTTATACATATACAGGTCAGTGGTGCATTGTGGGTAGTCTATTATGGCGGTTATTTTACTGGAAGTCATTTATTTATTTATTTGGATTAAATTATTTTGCTTGTTTTATTTAATTTTATTTTTTTTTTTTTTTTTTATTTAATTTTATTTAAAAAAAAATAAAATTTAAAAAAACAAAAATAATTTTAAATTAAAATTTTATTTACAAAAATAAAATATAAAATAAAAAAAAAATAACGTGGCCTGATGATTGCATATAGTATGAAACAGACTGTCGCTCTAAGTGTTGACTTCATGTTCACTTTTATATTTACACACGCTCTATCTCTGATATTGAGCACTTTATCCCATAAATATAGCACACCTTAAGACTATATTTCTTCATATATATATATATATTGTTTATATTATATATATCTAATATATTGTTATATAGTCATTGTTGCTAATCTCTTATTGACCTATGGCAAAAATGAATCTGCTATGTGTCACATAACTAATTTTATAGTATATTGTTATAATTGTTCTACTTTATCATTATTATTGTTAATCTCTTATTAGACCTAATAAGATCTACAATAAGAACAAATCTTCTCATCATCAGATAACTTTTATTACTTTGTATTGTTATAATTATTCTATTTTATTATTAGTATAGTATAATAATAACATTCTTGTCAATTTGCCAGTGATGACCAAATTGGCAAGAATATGGAGGAACAAAATCAGCTTTCAAACAAAGTATGGATTGTACAAATCACTGGTAGTCTCCATTCTCCTTAATGGATGCGAAATGTGGACACTGTTGGCAGAAATATAGAGAAGGATCCAAGCGTTTGAGAACAAATGCATGAGAAATCTCCTTGGCATCTTCTATTGGGAGCATAAAACCAATGAGTTTGTACAGAAAAGAGTTGAAAGATTTGTGGGCCACCAGGAACCTCTTCTCACCTCTGTCAAACAGAGAAAAAAATGGCATGGTTTGGACACATTACAAGGCACAACAGTCTGTGCAAGACCATCATGCAAGGCACCATTGAAGGTAGATATAGGAGAGGACGTCAACACAAAAACTGGTTGAACAGTATTAAACAATAGACAAGTATGACTATACTAGAATTGTTGATGGCTGCTGTTGATAGACTGTTGTGGAGGTGATTCAGTGTGGTGTCTGCATTCAAATCTCCCCTATGATTACAAAAGTTAAGGGGATGATGATAATATTGTTGTTGTGCTTAATAATATCTATAGTAAAAATGAGTTCTATACAGCACATAACTTTTATTACAGTATATTGTTATAATTGTTCTATTATTACTTATATGGGCATGTGACTGAATGGTTAGAACAATTGCTTTCTGACCATATGACTCAGGTTCAAATCTCACCATGGTCAATTTGTCAGAAAGGTGACTTCTTGATGCTATTAGTCTGGAAAAGGCAATCCCAGCATGTGGCACCTTTGGAAAGTTCATGAAAACCATACCACAGGTTGACCCAAGCCTTGTGAGTGAAATTGGGTAGATAGAACCCTTAGGAACTGTCGGTGGTTGTCCTAGCACAAAATCACATGTCATCATGACCGAGTGTTTGAGTGTGCTAGCCTTGTTCAAACAGTTCTTGATCACACTAGATAATGTGTTCTCCATACTCACTATAGTTAGAGTATAAACTACAGGTGGTCTCTGTGGGTGTTGAACAAACACAAATGTACCTGGTGATTAGCTAGCTGCCCTAGTAGACTGGTATTCCTCAGATACTAGTGTCTGCACCATTTACATTAAATTATTATTAGTTATTGTTGCTAATCTCTTATTGTCCCTAATTTATAAGTTAGTCGAAATTAATACATCAGTATGTATGTGTAGAAAATAATAGTAACAAACTGTATATGTACTATGTGTAGATTCACAAATCTTCTGGAACCTTGGTATATATCCTCTGGAACTGATCACACTAAGTTATGCAATCTGTCCCAGAAACTGTAATTAAGGTCCACTCAGCAAAGTTGCAGTATAAACCACAGCTTGGCTCTGTGGATGTTGTTCAAACAGAAATGTTCCTGAGCAGTTGTCTGAAACAAGATTTAGTTAATCCCCCTAACAAACGGGTATACTATGAAATGAGTGATTAGTTGTTTATTACACTTGAAGACAAATGGCTGAAGTATTTGATTGTGTAACTGAAAAGCGGATCAGCCAAAATCTGGTAATAATAAAGGCAGCAATTTACCTATTTGAACAATGCTTGGAATAATAATGTCTGACTGCAAAATTAAAAATGGAATTTATCTCTATAGGTGTTGATATATCATAAAATTGTCTCTTTTTAGACATAATCTTTTTTAGCATATACTTATTATAATTGTACTTATCCTTCCCTTTGATAATTTGCACAACCACTATACCCTACCAATAAGACTATTCTATTTTGATCGCGTGGAAAGAGAGAAAAATACACTACTTGGTTTCAGTGAGAAAATGAAGGAAAGAAATAAGGGTAGATAGAAGTGTTTAATGTCTCCTGCCAATACTTCATAAATAAAGAACTGTTCCATTTTGATCACGTGGAAAGAGGGGAAAAGACACTACTTGGTTTCAATGAGAGAAAGAAATGAATGAATGTATGTATGTATGTTTAACAGCTGTTTCAGTGAAATGGAAAAGTTCTCGATTTCAAATCTTTTCATTTGTACCAACATTCATATTTATGATTGTTATTTAATATTTTGTTGTTAAGCTCAAATATTTAACGATGTGATAGGGGAATTTCTGTGGATATTTTATTGTTGTAGAATTCGCCATGAGCTTACTCAATTCATCAGAATATTAAAATAGGAAAACCATTAAATTTCACAAGTTAATGTTAGTTCTTGATTAATGTACTAATTTGATTCTCTAATCAGTTTTTATTTAGTGACTACACACTGTCATGACTGATTTTTTTCTTTCTTTTTTTTAGGGGTGGATATGAAAACCCGAGAAATTTTCCCTGCTACTTTTACAGATCGAGGCCCGGACTATCCTCTTCGAAATGTTCAAAGGACTTGCAATTGGAGAGTCTTTGTAAGTGGATCTCAAGTTTATATATTTATATAAAATAAAAAATTAATTTTCTTTTTTATCTTTATTCATTTTTTGATTCATCAATATGAGAATAATTGAACTTTTTAGTTTCATTTTTCAGCTTATTAATCTCTAGTTTTACAATTCTTTTAGTAGTTAAAAAAATGGACTTGTTTGTATTTTGATTATTTTCATTGCTGTATTGTCTATAACCGAGGTCCTTATTGTGCCATATTGTCCAGTTAAAATGTGACATTTTAAGGTAATTGATATAAAGTACTTAAATTTTTATATTGGAGTATTTTTACTTAATGTCCATTAACAAATCTGGTATTAATTATAGTTTTTTTTGTTTTAATCATATCACCCCAAGCAATGCAGTAAAGCCACTAAGACATAAGGGAGTGGTTACTGTGTAAGAACAAGAAAAAGAAAGAAACATTAGGGAGCAAGAAGAATAGAAGAATAATCAAGGTGACAGTAGATAGTGATTGACATTGCATTTAAATTTTTGAAGATCAAAGTTGGCTGGAAAGCATGAAGTCGCAAGAGAATTCCACAAATGAGACGTGTGAGAAAAGAAACTGTAAATTGAGGAGACCTTGCGTCAATCTTAGTATTGTGCTTAAATTCATACATTCTAGCTACCATAGCGAACAGTTCATCCGAACAATTACCATGAAAGTATTTAAAAACCACAAGGAGGCTCTATTACAGTAGTAAAAAAGTGACTGAAGCTGAGATGCCAGGTCAGGGCCAATAATATTGCTGATTCATCTTTAGGTTTTATCAAGAATCTCTAAATATACTGCAGAAGCACTGGACCAGATGTGGCAATGAATGGATGAATAGTAGACTTATAAATATGCAAGATAGATTCTGGAGAGAAAATGATCTAGCATGACACAATGAACCAATGTTTTTAGCAGCATACCTAGCAATGGATTCAATATAGTCTCTCCACTTCATATCAGCTGAAAATGTTAGACTGAGAAGGTACAATGAATAATGAGTCACTCTTATGGAGGTTAGCATTAGCCATGCTGATGGGAGGCAGGAAAGGGTCTCTCAAGTAATTAATAGAGAAAAGTTTCGTTTTTTTTTTTTTTTCAGGGAGGGCATTAAAATTAACAAGCCACTCCTTGCTCCAGTTAACAACTGTCAGTCTTTATTTAGATCACCTGCCAATTTTAACTTATCGAACTAATCAGCCTTATTATCAAGACAGGAGTAAATAGTTGCGTCATCAGCATAGATACCAAGTTGAGAACTGATGTCATCAGGAAGGTTGCTAATGAATAAAAAAAAATATCCCCTAATAAAAAATTTTGGATTAATTATTGGTATTGCTATTACCCTTTAGTGCTGACTATCTGAAAAATAGGACGGTAGGAATTAGTGGGTTAAATATAAATCTGCAAAACAGAAAAAACTAATTGGTTACTTTTATCTTTGGGTGAAGATTTCATTAAGTAAAATCTTTTTTCAATGTATTTTGTCTAACTATTTGTTTTAATCCAATTTTCTTTTAGTTAAGTCTGATTTTGGCAAACATGGACTTTTGTGTCTGCAAAAAATAGGAAGTGTCAAAAGGACAGTTTTTCTCAAGACACTCCTCTTTTAATTACCTTCACTCTTCAGCAATGTTTATTGTTTAAAAAGTGGTGTTTAGAATTGTGATAAAAACGATATGATGAAAATGAATTTATACGTTTTGTTTTTGTCCTTGAGAATTTACAACAAAAATATTAAACATTATTTATTTATTAGATTGTTTATTTACAAGAATAATTTTATATTTGCAACATTCTAAAAAGTAAAACCTAATACAATTGTATTAATGCAATATTTATCATTTACCAATTTATAAAGAAATTAATCTGAAAACAATTTGTTTATTCATAAATTTATAAACATTTACTAAATTATTTAAATATATGAACCAACTATTGGAAGTCCTTATTATTTATAATTTTATAAAGTTTGAATCAGTTGACATTTAGCTGATGTTTTTTGTGACAATGAATATATATATCAACACACCATTAATGTTTTTTGTGACAGTAGTGTATAGGATATAGGATTGATTATGTAAAAGGGTGTATACCCATGAATTCACACATGGCAGATTGGTCAGAGCATTCACTTTCTGACCATGAGACCTGGGTTCAAATCTCACTATGGTCAATTTGTCAGGAAGGTGACTTCTTGATGTTATTGGCCTGGGGAGGTGATTCCCAGTGTGCAGCACCTTTGGAAAGTGCCTGGAAACCATACCACAAGTTGAACCAAAACTTGTGATTGAAATTGGGTAGATGGAACTATTTAGGATCCTTTGATGATTGTGCTAGAAGAAAGTCACAAGTCACTGTGACTGAGTGTGCTGACCTTGTTGATACTGTTGATCATGTCGGAAACTGTTACTAAGGTCTACTCAGTATAGTTTCAGTATAAACCACAGGTGGCTCTGGGGGTGTTGAACAAACACAAATGTGCCTTAGCTAGCTGCCCTTGTAGAGTGGCATATTCTGATACAAGTGGCTGGTCACTACATGTTTTATAGATTATGCAAATGTGTTTAAGGTACATCACAAAGAACTGCTAAGGATGCTTGATTTATTTGAGAAGGATATCAGAATAATCCAGAACCTATGCTAGGAGAAAATTGCCTGTATACAGATAGAAAATGAATTCAGTAAATATGCAAAAATAGAAAGGAGTGTAAGACAAGGATGTCTCTTCCTGACAGACTTATTCAAACTTTACAGTGAAGTAATCCTAAGAGAATTAAAAGTCCTACCAGGATTCATTATTGGAAGCAATAATCTTTTTCTTTTTATTATTCATTTTTAATCATTTAAAACTAAGCAAGGCAGGAATACCACTAATATGCAGGGAGGAGTTACAGAGAGTGAAAGTGAAAGAAAAGATTGAGTATAGGGAGGATTGAGGAAAGGACAAAAGATGAACAGGATTCAAGAAGGTAGAAGATTCTGGTTGACATTGAATTTAAATTTTTGAAGATTGTAATTATCAAGGAAGCAAGTAAACAGAAGGGAGTTCCACAGGCAGGAAGTATGAGAAAAGAAACTATTGGAGTAGAAGTGGTGGTTGCATTTAACTATTTCAACAATAAAAGGGTTGGGCTTAGATGCCGGTCTAGTAGCACGTTTAAATTCATTTAGTTGGGGCACAAGGGATAAAAACTCATCAGAGCTGTTGCAATGAAAATATTTGCAGAAAAGACAGAGAGAAGCCATGCCACATTTGTGAGAAAGTGACTGAAGTATGATAGCAATATATAATTAATCCCTCACTCATAATATCCACATTATAATTTCTTGTTTGTTTATCAAATTCTGATTTGATATGAAGCCCCTTCTTTTCCTCTCAGCTTTGGGTTAATTTATAAGATTTGTATCACTAAATCATTATTATCTCAAAAAAAAAATAATTCTTACAATCTAAAAATATTTTCTGGCCTGGCTTTAAATAACCTGCAAGTAGTTGATAAGCCATAAAAAATGAATCAGTCTATAAAAAGAAACAAACATGTCTTCCTTATCGATTCATAAGTCTGTATTCTTTTTCCCAAAATCAAACTGAAGTAAACCACATGTGTAGAATAATTCTTATATTATTGAGAGAAGATATGGGAAGCCATCCCTGTTCAATCTTTGATATTATCAAATTGTTTTTTTACTTTGTAGCTTGTATTTCCATACTTTTTCAAAGTGTCTTGTATAAAGGTTTTGCTCAGAGTATTCTACTTGATGATGTGTTCAAACCAAGCCAATTTCTGTTGTTTAACAGCCAAATGTTAATTTCACTATAGAATCTATTGAAAATTAGAAAAATAGATTGTCAGCATTTGGGAATTAAAGCAAGCATTAATGATAGAATAGGATATATTATAATATTTGAGTACATGCCTATTTATTTTATTTTATTTTTATTCATTTCACCCCAAGCAAGGCAGTAAAGCCACTAAGATGCAATAGGTTACTGATTGTGAGAGAGTATGAGGAAAAGGAAAACATTGTGGAGAGAGAACAATAAAAAAACAGGAATTAAGAAGACAGAAGATAACAATTGACATTGCATTTAAATTTTTTGAAGATCAAAGTTGACTGAAAAGCAAGTCAGAAAAGAGTTCCACAAGTGAGAAGTGCTAGAGAAGAAAGTGTTAGCATAAAACTTATGGTTACATCTAGCCAATTGAATTGTAAAATGTTAGATCTTGCCATTGAGTTTAAATTTATAAAATCTAAGTACAAAAAAAAAAAAAACAAGCTCAGAACAATTACCATGAAAATATTTATAGAAAAAGCACAGGGAAGTTATTTTATGGTGGTGGGAAAGTGATTGAAGGCAAGATGCCAGGTCAGGACCAATAGCATTGCAGATTCTAGAATCTCTAAATACATAGCAGAAGCATCAGACCAGATGTGGCAGCAATATTCAATGCATTTTTGAATGGCAATATCCCCAAAATGGAGTTAGATTTATAAATGTGTAAAATAGAGTTTGGCAAGAAAAATTGCCTAGTATGACACAGTGGACCAAATTTCCTAGCAATTGATTTATTTATGTGTACATATACAAAATATAAGTTTTTTTTTTTTAAGTTGTCATTTCACATATTAAATTTTTTGTTTAGTCTTTGATTAAGTAAACATAATTTTTTTTCAGTTTCCCTGTATTTATGACTTCAAAATTAGAAGAGTGGTCATCAATAGTTTTGACTACTCAAATTGGGATCTGAGTATGGTTCAGAAAATAATCCAGCTTTCTGATGAAGAGATTCTTCAGGTAAATTTATTGCTTTTTTTTTCTAATCATTTCACCCCAAGCAAAGTGATAATTCGACTAAGATGCAAGGTGTTACTGAGAGCGAAAGAGAATGGGGAGACTTTTTAAGGAGAAAGGACAATAAAAAAACAAGATTCTGGAAGAGAGGAAATTGTCATTGCATTTAAATTTTTGAAGATCATAAGTGGCATGGAAGATAGAAACTGGAAGAGAGTTCCACAGGTGAGAAGTGCAAGAAAAGAAATTATTAGAATAGAACTTACAGTTACACCTAGCTATTTCAACAATTAAATGATGAGACCTAATTACCAATCTAGTAATACGTTTAAATTCATGTGGCCAAGGTACCAAGGAGTAGAGCTCATTGAAACAATTGCCAAGAAAATATTTATAGAAAAGACAGAGGTAATGGGAAAGTGACTAAATTCGAGATGCCAGGTCAGAACCAATAATATTACAGACCTTTCTTTGGAGTTTGTCAAGAATCTCGAGATATATAGCAAGAGCATCAGATCAGATATGGCCGCAATATTTAATGCATGGTTGATTTATAAATGTGTAAGATAGATTCTTTCAAGAAAAATTGTCCAGCATGTCACAGTGAACTAACTTTAAAAACCATTCAACCTGAGTTTGTATATAGACAGGTCAGGAGTAATCATAATGGTAATGGTATTATTAGTTGTTTTCTTACAATTAAATATTTGGTGTTCATTAACTGAGCAGCCAGTACTACTTTCGGTTGAAATTTATAAAATCTTTCTTTTAAAAATACTTTTTTAGGAAAACAGGTTTCTCAAGTCCTGTAGCTGTTATTGCTCCTTCCAGTATTAATGGGAGTTTCCTTCCTAACCTTTTATTTGAAGTAGTGTTGAATATTAATATTGTAACCTAGGAAAGGTTACTGAATGAGGAATAATCAAAACGGAGGTTGGAAATGAAATGGTAATCTTTATAACATCAACAAAATACAATACTCGTCAACAGCATGAAGTAGGTAAACCACTGCTTGTGGTGGACTACTTAGACATCATATTATCCCCGCCTACAATAATGTCCAACGTGATTATGAGGATGGGACATACTCATTAGTGTTTATAGGTATGGTATATAACAACATCTTCATTATATCATTATTTTCTGTGCAAATTATATATCCACTTTAGTTGTTGCTGCTGTTGGTAGTCCTTGAGTGATGTAGTTTCTGTTATGTGGTACAGTTCTTTGTGATTCTGTAGCACCAGTTCACAAGGTTTGAAGAAGCATGATCTTTGCCAAGACTCTCAACCTTTATTTGTTCAAAGCCTTTTTTCATCATTGATCTTAGGAAGAAACTGTATACAGTTAAGTGTTTAGATATTTCTGAATGGGTTTGGTGCCATGCATGGCATCCATATGAAAGTCTTGATCTGACGAGGATATTTAAGAACAAGACTTGAGTTTTCTGTTTGATGTTTTGGTTTTGTAGCAATTTGTGGTATTGGGTGAAACTACCTTTACAGATTTAGTAACTATGTGAACAAAGTGAAAGGGAACTCTTTGCGATTAGATTAATGTTTATAATAGCCAGTCAAAGTGTTAACTGGTTTCACAGCCAATTTGGAAAACAAGAAAATCATGGAATTATGAAGGATTTGGAAAAAGTTATCAAGGAATTTTGGTTTCATGTCAAAGAAATCAATGAATTTTCTAATGCAACTTGCACTGATTGACATGTTTAATTATATGATTTTTTTTAGATTGAAAATTGGTTTAAAATAAATGCTAAATATTGTTTCAGTATCTGTCTATATTTCTGAGATGAGGTATTATGTACATTATTTACATTATTTGGACTATTGTCCTCACCTTTGTTGCCATATTTGTTACAACATTTCGGCCATTGTATGCTCCAGCCTTCATCAGGTGGTTGGAATGTTGACATAACCCTTTATTTCACTCACTGGGGTAGACTGTTCTAGTTCCACATGCCATGTTTAGTAGATGTCAGTTATCAGTTATCTCCTGTTAATTTCCCTCTGAAAGTTCTCCACTGCCTTAACTGGGTATTGAACTCACACTTTTTGGGTCCTGTCACTGGATCTAACCAACGCCTTTTTCCACTGTGCCATGTGTCCTTGAGGAAATCTGTGTATTATAAACCTAATGTCTTCAGCAACCATTTTTACCAGTGCTCATATTGCAATTTTTTGCTGTTATCATTGCATGTTTTTTATCAGAGCTCATATTGCAACTTTGTTGTTATTATCACTTTTCTCTGGCACTCCTTATTACTGGTTCCCATATTGTATTCATTTCTATGCTTGGTCGGCTCAGGAGATTTTTGTGGCCTAGCATATGTGCTGATTCCTTAAGTTTACGAATTTCCCAATGGTGTTCCTTGTCTATGATGTCAACCTGATCCCACAGAGGGCAGTGATTTCCCTTCTCTCTCCATATGTGGTCAGCCACGCCTAATTTTTCCACTTCTCCTCATGTTACAGCTTTCTGGTGTTCATGAAGCCTTATCTTAAGGGGGCGGCCTATCTCCCCTTTATATTTCTTTCTGCAGCTGCACGGGATAGTGTACATAGTCTTTAGTCATGTTCTCCTGTATGGGGGGTTTTTAATCGGGAGAGATATCTACAAAGTGTCGTCAAGCTTTTGAAGGTTGTCCTGATGTTATATAGGCCGCAGATCCTTTGTATTTTCTCTGATAACCCCTTCACATAAGGCAGGCAGACTGTTTTTTGAGTGTTGTTGTCCTCCTCTTGTACCCGCCTATCCCAGTTTTTTGGGTCTGCTGCCATGTACCCAGGGTAGTTGTTACATTGTAGGGTACTACTTATACTGACCAATTCTTTATCTAATGTCTCTGGGTTGCTACTTATGACTTTTGCTTGGTGTTGTAAGCAGCGGACAATCCCTTTCTTTACACTGTATGGATGGTGGGAGTTGAAATTGAGGTACTGTCTGGTGAATGTCAGTTTACGGTATACGGATGTCTTGAACCCACGCTCTGTTCGAGATATTAGAACATCCAGGAATTGGAGTGTGTTGTTACTCTCTTTCTCCATTGTGAACTGTATTGAAGGTCTTATTGAGTTCACATGGTCCAGTAGAACCTGAACATCTTCCTGGTTTTAAAGTGGGTTTTCAAAGCACATGCATAAGAAAAGCTTGCTGAATAACCACTTATCCTTTGAACTGACAGATTCTGTGCGCTACAAAGCAATAGCTTTTAAAGACACTAGCTTTTATAAGTTTACTAAACAGATTCTAGGGATGTAAACTGTGGAGGACTACTTCAATCATTCATCATGTTGTCATGGTTAACGAGCTAGTTATAAAAGCCATTCATTTCTCCAGGTTTATTTTATAAGCCCAAGCTATACTGCAGAATCATTGTATGCAAATAATGTATTGTATATTACTTTCTCATTCATGGTTTCATTCATCTACAAAAAGTTTTCAAAGCACAATTGCAGTAATGTTATGATCATCTCAAAAGCTATTTCGAGTGAGTTCATTTTTAACTTGATCTTTATTAGACGTTGATTTATTTGAATTGTTATCCTTATCTTGCTTGTTATAGTCACAATTTGGGGGCCATTGTACCTGCTGTCCTTCTTCAGATGCATGTAGTATTTATTGAATCCATTGGAACAAGCAGAAACAACACCACAAGAACAAATTAACAAAAAGTATGTAACAACATAAGTATTGACTTTCATGTGGATGTCATGCATGACATCCAACTTATTCAGAAATATCTAAGTTATCATTGGTATAGTAATTTTTTGTCAAGGGCAAAGGTTAAAAATGGTTCCAAGTGAATTGATCCTATAAATCTTAAAGAATACAACCCTTCATCAGGCCCTACAAGACTGGTCCTACAAAATCACAAAGAAAGAACTTTGACAAGTAGCAAAAACCATGTCATTTGAACAATTACAACATTAGTAACAATATATATATATTGTGTAATATATTGTTGTATAGGTTTATATATGATGATAAAATTGGTTATCCATAGAAATGGAAATATTTGAGTTTTTACAGTAAATTGTTAGATTTGTTAGGAGATGTGTTGGGTGGTGCTATAAAGCTACAAGCGAAGAGAATATAGAAAAAAAAACCCTATCACTTGGATACTTCCAACAAAATTGGGTAGCAGATGTAACTATAAGAGAAAATAATTATATAATCAGGATGTTAACTTTCCACACAACCAAAAACAAAACTATGGGCCTGGGTAGAAATGAACCCCCCTTCTGCTTTACTTCTTTACCCACCTCCTTTATCAGCAGCATGTTTATGTATATAAGAGTGTCTTGGGATAGAAATGAAATTGGTAGAAAACATAGTAGCAGGATGGTTGGTCATCTAAAATTTTTTATCATATACAGGAGGTGATGGATAGATGTCATCTAAATTAAACAAAAATATCTTGAAATAATAAAGAATAAATTTATTCAATAAAATCACCATTTGTTTCAACTATGGCCTCCAGCTGACTTTGGAATCTCCTGCAACTCTTCTGGGCAGTTTTCTTGTTTAAGTTGGTGAATGCTGCCATAATCCTTACCTTCAGTTTATCTTTGTTGTTACAAGGAGTTTTGTTGATCTCTTGCTCAACTGCACTCCACACATAATAATCAAAGAGGTTGCAGTCTGGAGAGTTATGTAAGGCATGATGTGGTCACAGAAATTGTCTGACAGCCATGACTGTGTTCTTCTGCTTGTGTGGCATAGTGCAGAGTCATGTTGCCAAACAGAGGATTTTCCAGCTGCCTTGACCCAGGGCAGCACTACCTCCTCTAGGCACTTGATGTAGGCCTCCATGTTGAGTCTGAGGCACTCACTAATAAATTCGGGAGTTCTTTTCTTATCAGAATGATCAGAGTTAGTTTTCTGAGCTGCCATACCTTTATAATTGCCATTAGATTCATCTTTCCAAATTCTCTGCATTGTCCTCAGATTGGCATCCAAACACTCTGAAATGTTGATATTGGAGCTTCCGGTGCAAATGCCAGCATGCCATTTTCAAATTTCTGGCAGAGTGAATTAATCGTGATGGTCCTTTTCTCACAGACAGTAATCAACTGACCCTATAATACTAGGCAGTTAACAAAATTAAAAACAAATGTGTATGCATGAAATTAAAAATAAAAAATGGTGACCATTTACCCATTGCATTGTATTTGTGGAAAAAGATATATAAATTTTTATATATCAGAACAATTTTAGGAAAACTTATGAAAATATATATATATATATATATATATATATATATATATCCCTGCCCTAAAAATTGATTTTATCAAAATTTCATGAAATTAAGTAAGTGGGTGGTAAATTTTTTTTTACTAAGATTTTCTAAAAAGAATTTATTTTTAAAATAATCTCAATCATTTCTGAATATGTCTTGAAAGTTTCATTAAAATCTGACAATTATTTGATTTTTGCAAGAATTTCCAAATCTGCATTTTTCACCAGAAAAAAGTGCAAAAAACCTAATCATTATTATTGCACCAACTGCTGACATAAGCAAAACAAGATTCCGAACGCGCTAGAAAGGATTAAAAAATTAAAAAAAATAAGTTGGTCTTAAATAATAACATAAACATTTTGACAATAAAACTTTTTTTTTTTTTTGAGTTTGTGGCCTTTTTTCATCATTCTATGCTGTTTTTCTGCAAAAGAAGTGGAGGTACCTACATATATATATATATATATATATATATATATATATATATATATATATACACACACTGCTAATAAATTTATATTTGTTTCTCACTGTTTGGTATAACTCTAAATTTTATGCTCATGGTAGTTGTTAGGCACAAATTTTAGTATAAATTTTTGTTCTGTTATTTTACATTGAACACTGTTTTATTACTACCAGCACTTACTGTGTGCTATTTTTCCTGTGAAAATTTCTCGGACAGTAAATGTTGTTTAATATTGTTTATTATAAACAGAGCAATCACTTAAATATTTATATCTATAAAAAGAATGTTAAACATAAAAATGTCTTAAGATATATATTTGTATATAGTCAAATTTGGGATGGGTAGTTTCATTGATTGTATTTTTTTATGGGGCGCTCGGTGAGGATTGAACTTACTACTCAGTAGTAATGGTTAACTAGACTATTGGCATGGATAAACTGATTCCAGTCTAAATTCTATAAATACACAGTGACTTGATATTGAGTTTAAACGCACCCTTCATGTGAATTCTTATTGTTATTTATGAGCTTAGGTTTGGTACAAGGACACAAATATGGGGAATCCAGTGCAGATCAAAGTCACTACTAATGGTCTGCAAGTCCAGATTGTTGACCATTGCACCATAATAAGAGACCCAAATTATTTACTAAGGGAAGCTTAGTTTTGACACATAAGTACACAAGTATGGGAACCCATTGAGAATCAGTCCCTATTAATGAGTGTGTTGACCATTGCACCATGATGAACTGTTCAAATTATTGAAGAAAATGTTAATTTTAGCCCAAAGCCAGAACTATTGAGCAACCACTAAGTAGGAAAATCACTACTAATGATGTATAAGTCCATATTGCTGGTGATGATACTATTATGAGTCACTGAAGCATGTTGTTATTGTAATTGTGGAATATGTTTTGTTTATTTGTTGGAACTTCTCTTATTGTAATAACAGTAGTTTGTTTTATTTTTGCACATTTTGTCTGCACATTAGTCATTAGTGTTAATTACATAAATTGATTACATAAAATAATAATTTAAGTATATATAGCAAATGCTCTCACATGTTTCCTTTGTATAAAGACACAAGCTAAAAAGAAAACAAAAAATAGTAATTTAGCTTTTTGTGTTATTTTTTCTCAGTACTCAAAACACAATTAGGTATGATAGTCAGTTTTAAATGGTTTGCTTTTTAGTTAATAGTTATTTATATATTTTCAACTGGTAACAGTGGTTGGTACTTGAGACCAGTTAAAAACCCAAATTGATCGACATAATTCAATCTTCCATTTCTCCTGTTTGGTTTTACACCATAGTACACTAATCTTAGTAGGTATAAATATATAACATTAATTAGAGTAATATACACACTGTTATATAATGAATTTTGACCAATACAAGAGAGTGCTGAAAATATTTTTAACCCAACTAATAATGGAATGATCTTGAGTCATAAAAAGTATATGTTATTCGACATAATTTCACAGTATGTGTCTCAGATAATGGTTAGTGAGTTTAAATGACTATTACTCCTGAGTAGTAATTTTGTTCCTCACTGGTACACTATTCTTGTGGCCTTGTGTCAAAACTAAGCTTACCATAGTAAATTAGTTTCTTCTATTGCACTTCTCATTTGTGGAACTCTCTTCCTGCTTCTTGCTTTCTAGTCAACTTTGATCTTCAAAAATTTAAATGCAATGTCAATTGTTAGCTTCTATCTTTCTAATTCCTATTCTTTTATTGCTCACTCTCCTTGATAATGTTTTTTTCTTTGTATCATTCTTTCACAGTCATTAACCCTTGCATCTGAGTGGCTTTATTGCCTTGCTTGGGGTGAATGGATGGCAGAACAGCGACAAAGAGGGATGGTAAAGGATAAAAAATGACTTAGAGCAACAAATGACAATCCTCCCTGGTCTTTTGAACAAGAGTAGAGGTTTATCCTTTGTTTCCTGTTTAGGATTGGGTTTCCAGTTCCTTCTAAAGTTTTTTCCTTCTCTTTCACTTCCAGTAGCCTCTTGTATCTTAGTGGCTTTATCACCTTGCTTGTAGGTGAAAATATTTAAAAAGAATAAAACAAATGAACCCAGTTGCCTGCCACTGCATGGAGTGTTGTTTGGTCTGTAGATGATAGAGCAGTAATCATGTTTCATCAACAGTGTCAAGTCTTTTTTTTATTTATTTCACCCCAAGCAAGGTGATAATGCCACAAGAATATAAGAGATTAAAGGAAGTAAAAGAGAAGACTAAGAATAGTGAGGATTGAGGAAAGAACAAAAAAGGAACAGGTTTCAAGAAACCAGAAGATGGCAATTGATGTATTTAAATTTCTGAAGATTGTAGTTATCAGGGAAGCAAGAAATCAGAAGGGACTTCCACAAGTGGGAAGTGTAAGAAAATAAACTGTTAGAGTAGAAGTGATGGTTACATCTAGCTAGTTCATTCTAAACACTGGATTGCTGACAATATTGCTAAATCAAATTGGGTGTAATTACTTGATTTTGTTTCTGGTCAGTATTCAAACATTTTGGACCCATCTGGCTGACAGCCTTCTGCAGTTCCAAAATGCCTATCAGTTATAAACACAGCATCATTCCTGGATATCTCTAGCATCTCAGCTATTTCAGCTAAAATTTGTCGATTTAAAAAAATTTTGGTCATGAACACTATTGAATGCTTCCCAGAGTTGAGCAATGTTAAGCCTGGTCAGTACCTGGGCGACCACTTGGTAATACCAAATGCTGTGAGCTTGGTTTCAATAACAGCTTGAAATTAGAAAATGGAGAGCCGAGTTCTGATTTGAGTCAGGTCCATTATATTCATTTATGTGCAAATACTCTTGGGAAAGGCTTTTGACAAGTGTAGCTCAGAGGATTGCTATACAAACTTACCAGTTATTAATTCCTTCTTGTCACGTAGGTTTATGAAGGTCATCATTAATGGCTAGTCTTCTGAGGCACATAAAATCAATGCTGGCATCTCCCAATGTTCTCTCATGTGTTATACTCTCTTTATAATGACACTAGGTATAAGAACATTCTCAAATCCTTGATAAATATATATGCAGATAACATCACAGTGTATAGGTGCACTTTTAAATATCTGGATTGCCTGGTAGCTGACCTTGCCTCTGACCTAACTTACACATTTCAAACAAGGAAAGACTGGCTGATATCATTCAAAACAAAGTTAATAACATTTCATCACCATTGAGCAAACCCTAAGCCTGCACCAATTTTGATGAGTTGTCATACCATCAAAGAGACTTGAACACTTACTGGGTCTAAAGTTTACTTCTGAACTAAAATAGAACACACATATTTGTGCATATTTTCATATGTGGAATTGATCCAGAAAATACCTAACTCCTACTGCCATGTTTTACCTTTACAAGAGTCAGATGAAACCAAGAATGGAGTGTTACTGCCATATCTAGGCTGATGCTGAGTATTCTTCACTGTCCTGCCTTGACAGAGTCCAAAAGTAATTATGTGGCCTTGTGGGTATGAATTACTCTTTATCTTGCAACCATTATCCCACACATTAAATGTTGTTAGCCTCTCACTAATCTATTGTTGTTATTATAGCAGATGTTTGGATTAGTTACATTCCTTAGTTCCACCAGTTCAGACCTTCATAGCTTGGACCATGTTCATGGTGGTAAATCATCCCCATTTTATTTGTGTATCTTTGCTTAGGAGTAAATTCTACTCAGACAGCTACTTCCCTATAACTGTTACTTTGTGGAACAAACTGCCAAGAAAATGCTTCCCTGATAACTAAAATCTTAGTCTCTTGAATTCAAAGGTCAACCTTCTATCTATCTTACATGCTCTCATAATGTGCACTTCAACTCCCTTCTTTCCCTTAAAACAACCCTACTCAGTAACCCTCTACCATGAGTGGCTATTGGGCCTTGTATTGAATGATAGGCAATAAAATATCTTTATACAAACACTATTCTACATTATTTTCTCATCTATATAATACAAAATATTATATATGGTATATTATAAAGGAAGATAAATAAATATATATATATATATAATATTTATATATTAAACTCTTTTGCATTTCAGCAAAACTCTACCTCACCTGAACAGGAACCACCAAACTTCCTTGAGGATTTCCGAAACATGTTCAGATTTGTTCTAGATCATCCTGACCCTCTGGTATCTGTCTTTCCAAATGGCCTCCCTCGTTACTACAAACAGTCTTCAGATGGTCGGTGGGTTTTTGATGGACATACGTGTCCTTCATAAACGGCAAGGTTATACTAAATTTTGGGGATTTTGTTTTGATTTTACTTTGTTTCTGGGTTTGTTAACTTTTTTGTTGTTTAAGTTATCATTTTTTTTTCTTTTTATAGTTGCAATGTCTTTTATGATAAAACTACTGTAAAAATGCTCTTAAAAAGAAATCTTTTCAAGATTATGTTAGGTTGTTATATATGAAATGACACACTTTATAGGAAATGAATAAAACACTTCTGAAATGTTAAATAACTAATTTATTTAGTTGAAATAGGCACCATGTTCGTGAGTGACTGTTCTCCAGTGTACCTCTAAATTCTTGATCTCATCTTTAAAAAAAATTCTCATCCTTTGATTTGATAAACAGTTCAAATGCTTCAATTACCTCTTCCTTATTGGAGAATGTTTTATAGTGTATGAAAAACTCAAAATGCTTAAATAAGTGATAATCAATCAGTAAGAGAGATATCAGGTGAATATGGAGGATGAGGCAAAATTTCATAATTCGGAGTATGCAGATTTGGACAGTTGATTGAGAAGCATGTGGCCGTGCATTGTCATGCAGCAAAATTGGGCCATCCCTATTCACAAATCGAGGATGTTTCTTTTTTTAATTTTTCATGTATACACTTAATTCTTTACAATATGAGGTTGCTGTTATTGTTTTCCCTTGTGGCAAGAATGAATAATGAATAACCCCTTTGAAAGACCACCATACAGTAACCAATAACTTTTTAGGGTGCAATGATTGTTTTGATGATTCACTTGCTTCTACTCTTTTACTGTTGTCAAAGAGTATCCATTTCTCATTGCATGTAATGATACAATAATAGTCCTTTTTCCCAGTTTGTTCTTGATTACTTGACATTGTTTCATTGTATTCTTTTTCATTGGGCTTATAAGTAACAATATATTGAAAGCAAAATTATCGGGAAAGAAAGAGAGTCAGAAATAAATCAAGATTTTTTTTATATACTAAGGTGGTTACTTTGTTAGATGACTGGCTCAGCAACCAACCCCAAAATATGCCATTTCATGTGTGACAACCTAATAAAATTGAAACATAAAAAAATACTAAAACTTGCAAATTCACTTTCTAAATGACCAGGAAAAGTAAAATTTGTATTGGATAATGTTCTCTGTCTGCATTTATATAACATGCTTACATAATATATATATATATATATATATATATATATATATATATATTGTTCAAGACATTTGACCAATAGTCAACTTCTGCTTGTCACTTACTTTACTATACACTTTATATCTGTCTTACATAACATATGCAAATAAGTACAATCCTATTTACCAATCCACTACACCTCCTTTAACTGAAGGGGTTTAATGTCTTTGGTTGCTCTTGAACTTCCTCTACAACTTTCCCTCTTCTTCCCCTTGAGCTTTATGTCCTGTTCTTTTTAATCTTTAATCTTGATCTTATCTCATTTTCCATGTTTGAGTTACTCCTGCTATCATCTATAGGCTCATTTTCTTTTGCATTATCCTGATCTGAAGAACTCATTCTTTCTTTTCTCTCAAGATCTTCCATCACATCTTTCTCTTTTATTCTGGATCTTAATTGATCTTTAGTGGTAGCACCAAGGCAAATATCATCTTGATAAATAATCATATTACTGATTTAGTCAGTTAACACATTTTCCATTGCTCTGTGAAAAATGGCACTTGCTGTTTTTGCTCCAAAAGGCATTTTTGTTCATCTTAATAATCATATGGGTGTGTTTATATTGAATTTATCATCAATCTGTATTTGATTCTAGGCAGATTTTAAATCAATTTTTGTAAAACATTTCATGCCTGAAAATTTGTGGATGGTGGTTTCAATACTAGAAATAGGAAGAGTCTAAGCATATTTTATGATTTACACAAATTTCAAAATCACTACATATTCTTAAATCCCCATCTACTTTTCACAAGACTACAATTGGAGAAGCCCATTTACTTCAACCAGAAGGAACATGTTCCAAAATTCCCTCCTCTACCATTTTCTTTAACTTAGCAACTACCAAAGGTAGAAGGTGAATAGGTTAATTTATGAGATTCAAAATAAGCAGTGGTACTATTTTCATTTAATTGTATACTCATTTTATACTCCTTTAACACTCCTGTTTTTACTTTTTCTGATTTTACATTGCTGATAATTTTGAATTTTAGAACATCTATTTCTAGTAGTTCATGAATTTTTTTTACATTCCACTATTGTAATATGAATAATTTCAAATCGGTCACAGGTTTCAAAAGTTCCATTGAAGTATCCAAAAGTTTTTATAAAAGGTCCATCACATTGTCTCAATTTCAGATAACTTTTTCTCAATTTCAGTTTACCCATTTGTTTCCCAAAATTTCTTTGGATCAAAATGACTTCACTCCTGTATCCACTTGCATTAGAAATGCCATGTCACTTAATTAAATTTTTCAAAAGAATTCTTTTCTTTAGGTCTTTGTATTGAAAAAATGTCATTAATTCTCTCTTTTTCCACTTTGTCTATTTTCTTTTTAACTTTGTACACAGACTGAAAATGATTTTTTTTCTTTGGCAGTTATAGCAAATTTTTCCAAAAGCAGGGCACATTTTTCTGCTGACTTCATGCTCATAGTGACAGTATTTGTGTTCCTTTTTTATACTGTACTTTTCAACATTGTCCTCAGTAGAATTATATTTTCTTTATCAATTCCAGCTGTTGTATAAATTTCACACATGCAGTTAGAGACAAATTATTCAATTGTAATAGTTCCACTATGTTATATTTATGAAATGTATGCCATAACAGAAATGTTCATTACAGCTTTAGAACCTGCCGAAGCTAGAAAGAGGTCAGTTATTTCATTTTCTCTCCCTCTTGCATGGTTGTACTTCAATTTTTAGCCCTAGATACAAAAATAGCCAAAATATATATATATATGTATGTATATATATATATATATATATATATATATATATATATATATATATATATATATATATATATGTGTGTGCGTGTGTGTGTATATCTCTGTGAATGATTTGGTTCAGTCAATACCATTTCTTTTTTTGCTTGAGTATAACAAGGCTCAGCTAAAATAAACCTAATGTTAATAAAAATCTAAAACAAATCGTGCAGCTAAGATGATAAATTAACTGATAGGCTTCCCAAAGTAAAAGAACTGCAATTTTGTTTCACCTTGAACTTATTCTTTATTTCCAATCTGTGCTATTTACTTATGGCTGTATGGCAGAGGTAACCTCCCCTCACGAATAGGGCCACCTGTTTACTATATCTATGTCTACCTTTTTTTTTTTTACTGTGATGCAAATCAGCCTTATGTATGTCTTTTTGACTCTTCTCCAAACTGGACCAATGCCTATGTGTTTGATTAATGCCAACTGGACCTATACCTGCCTTTTTTGACTCGTGTTAGTTGTACCAATGCCTATTTTTTTTTGGCCTATGTAAATTGAATCAGTGACTAACGTTTTTTACTCATGTAAATTGAACCTATGCCTACTTCTTTAGACTCTCATGTAAATTGGACCTATGCCTACTTCTTTAGACTCTCATGTAAATTGGACCTATTTTTAGACCTTTTTAGACTCTCATGTAAATTAACTTTTTTAGACTCTCATGTAAATTGGACCTATGCCTACTTTTTTAGACTCTCATGTAAATTGGACCTATGCCTACTTCTTTAGACTCTCATGTAAATTGGACCTATGCCTACTTCTTTAGACTCTCATGTAAATTGGACCTATGCCTACTTCTTTAGACTCTCATGTAAATTGGACCTATGCCTACCTTTTTAGACTCTTCTGTAAACCAGCCTTATGTCTGCCTTTTTGACTCTTGTGCAAACTGGACCTCCATTTACCCTTTTTTTACTCTCATGCAAACAGGCCATTTGTCTAACATTTTGACTCTTGTGCAAACCTAACCTACACCTGATTTTTTTAACTCTCATGCAAACTGGCCCTAAATTTACGCTTTGACTATTGTACAAACTGAACCTACATCTATCTGTATATTGTTTGTCAAAACAGCAAAGTTTGACATTAAATTAACCTGGGAAAGGTTGATATCCTCTAAAATAAACAAAGTAAACTAATGGCTGTAGTGTTATAGTCTGAGTAGTTATGAAAATCAAGTGACATTTAGATGAAAGAAATAGAAGTTAAAAATAATAACAGTGTTTATTTTTAAATTTGATTAAATCAAATAATGATTTGAGTTAACAATGAGGCTTGTATGATGACTGTGATAATCGTATATTTTCTACTGGTGACAGAGATCTGTGTTCAAGCCTATGAACAATCAGGATTTCAAACTCAGACTTACTTCATTTTGAAAATTGGTGCCACCCAAATGCTTTCGTTCTAGCCTCTCTTGTGCTGGACTTGCTACAAGTGTGGGGAATTCTATAAAATCAAGTCAAATATGTTCGTCAATTATGATTCTGTGAGACAGTATAGATTATCTCCCTTACATCTTTCTCCGAGTATTTAAGAGTTATCTCCCATGTGTCTGCATTACATTTTTCCTCGTGAAATACATATTTGTTTGTGGGGCAGTTATCATTTTTCTCAAGCTTAATTTAATTTGGATTAAGCCAGAAATATTAGGATCAAAGTCATTACTCACCAATAATGATCTAGTGAATTGTTAACCCTTGTCCCGTAGGAAAGCATCGATTATAATTTAGGAATAGAACTTTAAAATAATACATAAAACTCAGGGTTAGCCTATAAAAGTATGCATAGAATCTTGGTTCTTTGGGTTCTATCTTCCAAGCAGTACCTCCCCAATTCATTAAAAAAGGTAGGATCAAAGAGGCTGAATTAGTCAATTTCTGAAATTCATCATACAAATATGTATAGGTTCCAAACTACAAAGACCCTGGTCATATTTATTCTTGTTGATTAATAAATGTAACACCTTAAATTATAGGTTAAATAAGTCTATACCCTTGATGAAAGCTGAATTTTTGAAGCACTTTATGAAAGACAATATTGT